TGTGTTTGTTAAATAGCAGGTAAAGAAGCAAACTCCTTCTCTGTGATCCACTGCCTCACAGAGGATGCTTTGCTAACAGGAGCTTTGCTGCAGCTTCACATTGTTTTTACTAAAAAAATAACCCGTTAGTTTAAAACCTAGGGGGGAACTTTTAAAAAATGTTTGTTACTAAAAGCTTATGGTTTTAACTTTTATAAAAACCCCTCTGTAAAAGGGCTACATGGTGGGGAAAATGCTGGGGGTCTGTTTCTTAGATAAGAATAAAACAGTTAAAAGGGATGGGGAGAGAGGAGGGGAGGGGAAGAGGGGGGAGATGGCTCTTGTTTAAAATCTTGGGACTCTAGAATTGGTTCAGGAAAATGAATTCTATAATGCTGTTGTAGAACAACCTCTGACTGGTCCGATCCAAAGGCGGTGATAACAAGTCTGAGAGGGTCTGAACCAGGGAAGTTGCCTCATTCTACGGAAAGACTTGAAAGGTGAGAATTCTCTCTCTCTGATTCAACCATGTGCTGTCTATCTTTGCCTTTTGCAAAGGGGGCTCTCTTTCCCCTTTTCTTGCCCTGTTCTTTCTTTTAACCTCTCTTTTTTCTTAACCTACACTGGTATTGAATAGTTTAAATGCATTTTTATTCACTTTTTTACCGTGTGCTTACTAAACAGGCTCTGCCTTAGTAAATTCCCTTTTTAAATCTAGTTTTTAATGTTTTTAAATGCTTTTTTCTTAACCTACACTGGTATTGAATAGTTTAAATGCTTTTTATTCACTTTTTTACTGTGTGCTTACCAAACAGGCTTTGCCTTAGTAAATTCCCCTTTTAAACATAGTTTTCAATATTTAACTTTTTTCTTAACACACCCTGATATTTAATACACCTTTTACATTTATCTCAGTTTTTTAAATTCTTTAATAGCCTAACAAAATAGGCCTTTCACATCATCTCTCCTTACTCAAACTCACTAAAAATCTTTATTCTTTAAAACTAGACCTTTAAAAACAAAAATATTTCTATTCTTTCATAACCTGCCAAACTAGCCCTTTACAAACATCTTTCCTTACTCAACCACATCCAATAACCTTTCTTTCCCTTTTTCTGTAAACCTTACCCAAACTTCCTTTTTTCATCTTTAAACTCTCACACTATTATTTCAACCTTTTTCTCTAAGTGTATCCAAGCACAAACAGAGACAACACTTCCCCTATTCAAACACACACACACAAAATTTTTCAAAATGGATGATGGCGCCAAACTTTGGTGCCAATGGAAGTGGGGTAGGAAGGTGGGACATAAACCCTAAATGGGGCGTGGAAACCTGTCAAAAATGCATGGTGATGAATGCTATCGATCCATATACTACTGATGTGAGGTATCATTGTAAATTATGAATTACTGAATAGGATTATCCTATTTGTGTGCATGTATCATTTCTGTATCTACAGTTAGGAATATGAACTATACATCTGTACTACAAAAGTGTTTGCACCTGGGGAATGCTTACCAGACAGAATGCAAACAGTCTGGCTGCCTAGCTGGGGACAAGTCAATGGACCATTAGGGAGAACAATAGGTCTTTGAAGATGCTAATCTCCCCCTGTCCTGGAATGCTACAAATGGCCTTTGACTCATGGCTGCTTTGACAC